GGTCCTCCCAGAGGACCCAGGTTTAGTTGGCAGCATTCACAACAGTCTGAGACTCCAGTTCCAGGGAATCTAATGTCCTCTTCTGGCCCCTGCAGGCATCAGACATGCGCGTGGTATGTGTAACATGCAAATGGTGCATGTAACTGCAGGAAAAACACACATAAAAAATCAAAATCTTAGCACTTGGGAGGCAGAGCCTAGCCTGGTCTACATAGTGAGGTCAGGTCAGCTGGGACTACAGGGAGACCCTGTCTCAAAATGACAAAAAAAAAAAAAATCGAAATCTTTTTTTACAAAGTTAAAAAATAATTAAACAATGCTGGGCGTGGTGGTGCACGTCCTTGATCCCGGCACTCTGGAGGCAGAGGCAGACGGATCTCTGTGGGATTGAAGCCAGCCTGGTCCACATAACAAGTTCCAGGGCAGAAGGGGCTACAGCTACAGGAAAATCCTGTTCCAAACAAAACAAAACAAAAAATAAAAAATAAACCATAACATTTAGAGTCATACAAAGGAAGACAGGGAATGAATATAAACAGTGAGGCGGGAAGAAAATCAAGAGTGCAGTGTCACACAAGGCCATGGGAGTATCCCCAGAAAGAGAGTGCCATCTGTGCTGGACACTGCTGATAGGTAAAAAGACAAATACAGAGAGGTATTTACTGGATTTGTCAACACAGGGACTGAGTATCCTTGGCAACAGTTTAGGAGGTGTGTGGCTAGAGTAGAAATGGAGTCCTTGAATAAAAACAACTTGATTTAAAAGCTTTTTTATGAGCTGGATGTGGTGGCACACACCTATAACTCCAGCACTTGATAGGTGTAGGATTAGGAATTTAAGACCACCCTTGGCTACAAAGCAGGCTCCAGGCCAGCCTGGGCTACATGATACTCTTAAAAGAACAAAAATAGAGGGCTAGGGAGATGACTCAGTGGGTGAAGGTGCTTGCTGCCCAAGCCTGACTGACATATGGTGGAAGAAAAGAGCTAACTCTGACCTGTGTGTGTAGAAGCATGCGCTCACCCACATTCACACCCATACCACCCAAGCAAACAAATTAAAAAAATAAAAATAGGGCTGGAGAAATGGCTCAAGTTCAAGTTCAGTTCCCAGCACCCACATCAGGTGGCTCATAACCACCTATAACTCCAGCTCCTAGCACCCATGTCACGTGGCTCCTAGCTGCCTATAACTCCAGCTCTGGGGTATCTGATGGCCTCTTCTGATCTCTGCAGGCACCTACACAAACATGGCATTCATTCAAATTGACACACACAGATCACATACATGTAAGTGAAAATGATAAAAATAAGCCGGCCGTGGTGGTGCACTCCTTTAATCCCAGCACTTGGGAGGCAGAGGCAGGCAGATCTCTGTGAGTTCAAGGCCAGCCTGGTCTACATAGTGAGTTCCAGGACAGCTGGGGCTGCAGGGAGACCCTGTCTCAAAAAGACCAAAAAAAAAGAAAAAAAAATTACAAAAGCCAGGCATGGTGTTGCACTCCTTTAATCCCGGCAGAAGCAGATGGATCCCTGTGAGTTCCGGGCCAGCTGGGGCTACAGGGAGACCCTGTCTCTAAAAGATCCCCCCCAAATTTTTTAAAATTAAATTAATTAACTAATTTATTTTGGATTTTTTGAGAAAGGGTCTCCCTACAGCTCCAGCTGGCCTGGAACTCACTATGTAGACCGGGCAGGCCTTGAACTCACAGAGATCAACCTGCCTCTGCCTCCCAAGTGCTGGTACTACAGGCATGTGCCACCACGCCCGTTTTTTTTTTAAGTTTAAAGAAGCCAAAACAAAGCAGAATTTAATTCAAAAGCTTCAAGATCTGTGAAAGAAGCTGAATTGTTGGAGTCAACTAGAGTGTAGGTTTTACCAGGTTAGTGTGATAGAGAAAAACAAGGACTTAATATTTATAGGAAATTATAATATCTAAAACACAAGACAAATTAATTATGAATATAAGAAGGCAATGCAACAGCCAGGCCATCGATGTGATGCAGAGCCTATAGTTCTAGCCTGCAGGAGGTGGAAGCAGGAGGATCAAGAGTTCAAGGTCAGCCTGGGCTACAGGAGATTGTCTTAAAAAGCCGAGACTGGCCAGGCGTGGTGGCGCTCGCCTTTAATCCCAGCACTCGGGAGGCAGAGGCAGGTGGATCTCTGTGAGTTCAAGGCCAGCTTGGTCTACATAGTGAGTTCCAGGCCACCTAGGGCTACACGGAGACCCTATCTCAAAAAAAGACCGAAAAAAAAAAAAACCCAAATTTTAGGAGAGATGATGGCTCAGCAGTTAAGAACACTGGTCGTTCTTGCAGAAGACCTGGGTTTGAATCCCACCCCCCAAATGACAGCTAACAACTGTCTGAAACTCCAGTCCCAGGGGATCCAACAACATCGTCTGTCTTCCATGGACATTGCAAGAAATGGGTGCACTTACCAATATTAAAAAAAAAAAAAGCCGAGACTGGAAACGGGGAGGCTGGAGAGATGGTTCAGCAGTTAAGAGCACTGGCTGTTGGAGCAGAAGACCTGGGTTCGATTACCACCACCCACATGGCAGCTAACAACTGTCCATAACTCCAGTTATAGGTGATCCAATACCCTTTTCTGATCTCTGTGGGCATTGGCATGACAGGAGTACACTTACATACAAGCAGGGAAAACATACACATAAAATAAAAATATTTTAAAAGAGAAATAAAAATATGAAAAAACATTAAAAAGTATATTTAATGGTTTGGAGGTTTTGATGAGTTCAAATATCAGGAAGCTATGAAAAATGACGAGAGATTTTAGAGATGGTGGAGTTACTGGCAATATCAAACACAAGGATGACAATCGCATGGAGAATGGAAGAGTACAAAGCTAAAATGGCATAAAAAGGAAAGAGTGCTAGAAGTAGGAAGCAAGGAGCTGAGGAGGTGGTGGGTCATCGACATGGATGTTGAAAGATTAGCAGAGGTTGAGATGGCCAGGAGGATGAGTTAATACTGAACAATGGTCTATACCAAAGGTTTTTAGAAGACAGTAACTAAGGGGAACATTAAGGATATGGCACAGGCCTGTAGTCCCAGCCCTGGGAGGCAGAGGCAGGCAGATCTCTGTGAGTTCACAGCCAGCCTGGTCTACAGAGTGAGTTCCAGGCCAGCTGAGGCTTCAGGGAGACCCTGTCTTAAAAAGACGAAAAGAAAAAAAAAGATATGGCTAGTGAATGTTAAAGAAGGGGTTGGGGAAGATGCTCAGTGGTAGAGAACTTGCCTACTTTCAGTTCTGAGGAGCAGGGGAACATTGGGGATTTTAAAAATTACATTTATTTACTTAGTCTGCATGTATAGTTCTCAGAGGACCATTCAATTTCCAGAAACTGGTTTTCTTCTTCCACCGTGTATGTCACAGGGATCAAACTCAGATCATCAGACTTGGTGGTAGGTACCTTTATCCAGTGAGCTATTTTGTTGGTCCAATAATGGTGATTTTGAAGGAAAATGGATGCTACCAATTGGCTGATTTTATATTGAGCCAGGTGTGGTGGTGCACACCTTTGTTCCCAGCACTCAGGAGGCAGAGGCAGGCAGATTTCTGAATTCAAGGCCATCCTCATCTACATAGTGAGTTTCAGGTCAGCTGAAGCAACAGGGAGACCAAAGAAGAAAAAGATACTAATCAATCTTATTAAAAGACAGGATCTCAATATATAGGCCCCGGATGGTCTTACACTATATAAACCAGGTGGCTTTTCTGCCTGTCAACTGCTGGGATTACAGCACACCCAGCCTACTCTAATATTGTAGCCCCTCCACCTCTATTTTCTGAGACAGGGTCTCACAATGTAGCCATGGCTGGCCTGGAACTCACTACTTTTAGGCCAGGCTGGCCCCAAGTCCATAAAGATCAGCCTGTTCTGCCGCCTAAACTTCGGACGATAGGAGTGAGCTATACTGCCTAAAATGGCAATTTTCTCTTTTTTTTTTTTTTTTCGAGACAGGGTCTCTCTGTAGCCCCAGCTGGCCTGGAATGTAGACCAGGCTGGCCTCCAACTCACAGAGATTCGCCTGCCTCTGCCTCCCGAGTGCTGGGATTAAAGGCCTGTGCCACCATGCCCGGCTAAAATGGTAATTTTTTAAATCCCTTAATCTGTTCATGAAGTGTCAAGTGGAAGGGATCAAAAAACATTATCGTATTACATTCTCCCATGACTTGTGTTCTTACTTCTTTATACGCTCAAGCAGGCATATCCTCCTCCCTAACCCCCTTCCTGGAGACTGAACTCAGGCCCTTCTGTACGCTAGGGAAGCCACAACTCCAAAGGCCGTTTTCCTTTGAACAGATTGCACCCACTCGAGTCTAATGGCAAAGTTTATACTGCCATAACAAACTTGTGTTCCCACAGGCTGTTTTGTCTGTTTCTTTGACAAAATTTCATGTAGTCTAAGCTTGCTTTGAACTTACTAGGTAGGTAGCAAGGGGGAACTACTTTCTTCACCTTCCAGGTGGGTCACCCACATTAACTGCCTAGGTAGTTTCAGCAAAATAAAGTCCGTGTGTGTAAACTTGGTGAGATTTTTCCATAATTTTATTGGGCTAGCACGAAGAGGAGTGGATAGCAGGAGCTCAATTTTTAATTCTGAACTCGAGAATATCTGTTTTGCTGGGCAATAGCAAACGGCTCCTAGAGGCAATGAAGGTTGAAAAAGAGCCCTCTACTCCTCTTGGAGCTATAGGGCCCTGGTTATCTGCGTTCACGGGAAAATAGCCTGGCATGCCCATTCAAATTTGTTCCAACCAATCACAGAGGCCTACAGCCAACTCTTTCTCCGGTGATTGGTCAAAAGGTAACGACAGTCCCTCCCTGCCTCCCGCCTCTTACCTGGTAACCAATAGCGAAGAATTAAGCTTCGTAAGTTAGTGTCACGAAGTACTGAACTTGCGATTGGTTAGAGGAGGTGTCGATCAAGTGGGAGGCGGGACAGGTGAAGCTGGCGTATATAAGAAGAGGACAAAGGCGGCCCGCCGCCTGTGTCATCCGCCATTTTGTGCAAGGCAAAGTGGCCTCCACGTTTCCCGAGCGTCTTCTCCGCTTCTGCCTCGACCGCCCCTTGACTACAGAAATGTCTCGGGATCGGTTCCGGAGTCGCGGCGGCGGCGGTGGCGGCTTTCACCGGCGTGGAGGAGGTGGCGGCCGCGGCGGCCTCCATGACTTCCGCTCTCCGCCGCCCGGCATGGGCCTCAATCAGAACCGCGGCCCCATGGGCCCGGGCCCTGGCGGTCCGAAGCCCCCGATCCCGCCACCGCCTCCACACCAGCAGCAGCAGCAGCCTCCGCCGCAGCACCAGCCTCCTCCACAGCAGCAGCCGCCACCGCCGCAGCAACAGCCCCCGCCGCACCAGCCGCCCCACCAGCAGCCGCCGCCTCCGCCGCAGGACTCGGCCAAGCCGGGCGGCCCTCAGGTTCCCGGCTCCGCGTCCGGAGTGAGCAGCGCGCCGCAGGCCGCCGGCTCAGCCCCGCCCGCTACTCCCCCGACCTCCGGCGCCCCACCGGGCCCGGGCCCGGGCCCCACCCCGACCCCGCCGCCCGTGGTCACTCCCGCTGCCCCTGGAGCGCCCCCGCCCGCCACGCCGAGCAGCGGCGTTTCGACTACTCCGCCGCAGACCGGAGGCCCTCCGCCTCCCTCCGCAGGCGGCGCTGGCCCGGGGCCTAAACAAGGTCCAGGCCCCGGTGGCCCAAAGGGCGGCAAGATGCCTGGGGGGCCGAAGCCCGGCGGGGGCCCGGGCATGAGCACTCCTGGCGGTCACCCGAAGCCGCCACACCGAGGTGGCGGGGAGCCCCGCGGGGGCCGTCAGCACCACGTGCCGTACCACCAGCAGCAGCACCTCCAGGGACCCCCTCCCGGCGGGCCCGGAGGCCGCACAGAGGAGAAGATCTCGGACTCGGAGGTGAGTCTCTGGGAGCTACGCTTCCGTTCCCCTAAGATGGCGGCGCCTCCTCCTCCTCCCTACCTTGTGCATCCCCCTCCCCCCGGCCGCGCCGGCCTCCATTTTGTCGCGGGCCGGAAAGGCGCCGGCGCGGACTCTCGTGGGTGGGGCCTGTGGTCGGCCGTGGATTGGCTGCCGGTGTTCAGTCTGCCCAGACCGTGGTGGGCCGCGGGAGCTGGGAGCTGCTGAGGCGGCGTCAGTGGAAGTTGGCTGGTCGCCGTGATCTGGCTAGTGCTATGAGGGTGCGGTGTGCGGATGAAGCAAGCCAGGCAGTTCCGGTCTTGATTTCTGTCTGCCATCCAGACCTGTTAAGGAAATGGTGTAATACATTGATTGAAGTTATTAGGGTATTTTCAAGAGCGTTTGGTGTGATCACGGCTTCTCTGAGGTTAATGATCATGTTAGATATCACCCAGATAGGTTACAACCTGATAGTGGTTTTGACCAGAAAAGCATTCTTAATGGCTAGTGTGGGACACGCAAATTATTTTTGGGCTTTCCTATTTTGTCGCTGGTGTCTGAATAGAAATTCCTTCACTTTATTAGGGATTTAAAGCCAACTTGTCACTATTGAGGAGGCCTGGAGAAAAAACTTACACACAGCGCTGTCGGTTGTTTGTGGGGAATCTGCCTGCTGATATCACAGAGGATGAATTCAAAAGACTGTTTGCAAAATACGGAGAACCAGGAGAAGTTTTTATCAATAAAGGCAAAGGATTCGGATTTATTAAACTCGTGAGTGCATTTGATTTTTATATAGAAGTAAAATGTGAGGATTTTTCTTACTGTCGTCTGTAAAGGCTGAAGGCTTGGTTTTAAAATAGGAAGAATAAGTTGGCCTTTAACTTTCCATCAGCATTATGGGTCAACATAGTGGGAGTGTGTAATTGTTGTGGGTGCAGGCCAGAGTGCTAGACATGTAATTGTTGGGCTGTCTGCTTCATGATAGTCCTTTAGTAGGAGGAAGGGTTATAAGTAGTTGAGCATTAGCCAGCTTTGGAATTAATGTTTCTGATATTTACAGGAGTCTAGAGCCTTGGCTGAAATTGCTAAAGCTGAACTTGATGATACACCCATGAGAGGTAGACAGCTTCGGGTTCGCTTTGCTACACATGCTGCTGCCCTTTCTGTTCGGAATCTTTCACCCTACGTTTCCAATGAACTGTTGGAAGAGGCCTTTAGCCAATTTGGTCCTATTGAAAGGGCTGTTGTAATTGTGGATGATCGTGGAAGATCTACTGGGAAGGGCATTGTTGAATTTGCTTCTAAGCCAGCAGCAAGAAAAGCATTTGAAAGATGCAGTGAAGGTGTTTTCCTACTGACAACGTAAGTTTGGTTTCTATTAAATTTCCTATTATGTGAAGATAGGCAATAAAATTTGGAGCAAAGTTAAGAGGTGGAACTATTTCTGTTACCAGAACTCCTCGCCCAGTCATTGTGGAACCACTTGAACAATTAGATGATGAAGATGGTCTTCCTGAAAAATTGGCACAGAAGAACCCAATGTATCAAAAGTAAGACTAATTAAAATTTTTGGTGTTGTATAAAAAGAACTCTCAGTAGTGTAAGTGTAAAAGAGAGCATAGGCTAGTAACTTTCCAGTTTTACTTAAAAGTTGCTATTTGAGTTTGACTATGTTTCTGGCTGGTCTGGAACTTCTGCCTTGTAGATGAGGCCAGCCTCATATTTGGAGATCTGTCTCCTGGGTGCTGGGATCAGAATTGAGCTGCTACATGAGAACTGGAAATAAGCTTTATAATTATTTGCTCATTTTTGGTCTTTTTGAGACAGGGTCTGCCTGTAGCTCCAGCTGTCCTGTAGACCAGGCTGGCCTTGAATTCACGGAGATCTGCCTGCCTCTGCCTCCCAAATGCTGGAACTGCAGGCTTGTGCCACCACACCCGGCCTAGCTTAATTTTTTATTTTTAATGTCCATGAATAATTTGAAGTTATCGGGTTAGATACATTTGCATTTGATCCAGCTAATGCGATTTAATTTTATGAGATCTGCTGGATATTAAAAGACAAAATAAGTCGGGGTTCTTTTTTTTTTTTGCTCTTTTTGGACATGGTCTTCTGTAACCCCAACTAGCCTGGCACTTGGTATGTAGACCAGGCTAACCTCAATTTCATAGAGATCTGCTTGCCTCTGCCAAGTGCTGGGAGTAAACCATCACACCCAGGCCTTCTTTTTATTTTCTTGAGACAAGGTCTCATTGTAGACCAGGCTGGACAAGATCTGCAGGCCATTCCCTCCCAAGTGCTGGGGTATTGGAAGCAAGTAGGAAGATACAGTGTGAGAATGAGCAGGGGTTCAGGGATGGGAAAATAGTTTATAGAAATTTATGTTTATGGAAGCCCCTTTTAGTGGTGTAGACAAACTGCAAAATTGGGGGCGTGTTTTCTCTTAGCAAACTTGAAGAAATGGTAGGTGTCTCCATCCTTGGTGCTGGGGATCAGATCAAGGACGTTGTACTTCTATATTCCATGCTACGCAGGTCCTTTACCACTGACACTTGGCCTTAAGTGAAATTTTTGTTTTTTAAGAAGTCAGGTAGTATATCCACAGATAGCTTCATGTATAAATTTTGTGTTGTCAGGGAGAGAGAAACACCACCTCGTTTTGCTCAGCATGGCACATTTGAATATGAATATTCTCAGCGATGGAAGTCTTTAGATGAGATGGAAAAACAGCAAAGGGAACAAGTTGAGAAAAACATGAAGGATGCAAAAGACAAATTGGAAAGTGAAATGGAAGATGCATACCATGAGCATCAGGCAAATCTCTTGCGCCAAGGTATAGTATAGTCTTCTGAATTTTGCTGGTTGTGATCATTTTCATGTTGAAGGGGCCAGAACCTCATTAACAAGAATCCAAATTTCTGATGTTCAGATTTGATGAGGCGCCAGGAAGAATTAAGACGTATGGAGGAACTTCACAGTCAAGAAATGCAGAAACGTAAAGAAATGCAGTTGAGGTATGTGTTAAAGGCCTTTCACTGCCGTTCTGACATAAGGGATACAGCACAAAGTGCAGGGTTTTTCATTATTAGTAAAGCTTATTTTCTTTGCCAACATGCTGCTATCTAGAGTTATGTCCTAGACTTTGGGCCTTATGACCTTTTGTAATTTAAAACTTAGACCTCCTCAGATTATCAAACTATAATTATCTGTTTTCAAGTAGAAGTTTTAAAGATGTGGATGCCATTTAGCTTTTATGCCTGATAAATATTTTTAGGCAAGAGGAGGAACGACGAAGAAGAGAGGAAGAGATGATGATTCGCCAGCGAGAGATGGAAGAACAAATGAGAAGACAGAGAGAGGAAAGTTACAGCAGGATGGGCTACATGGATCCAGTAAGTTTGTATTGCACTCTAGTTGACATTCTGTATGGAGCTTGTAGGAGGTACCTACTAGCATGACATTTTTCTCACAATAAATAGGTAATCTTGTGCCAGGCGTGGTGGCGCGTGCCTTTGATCCCAGCACTCCAGAGGCAGAGGCAGGCACATCTCTGAGTTCAAGACCAGCCTGGTCTACATAGTGAGTTCCAGGACAGCTGGGGCTACAGGGAGACCCGGTCTCAAAAAGACCAAAAAATAAATGGGTAATCTTTTAGGTATAATATTTATTTTTGAGACAGAGTCTCTATAGCTGCAGCTGGCCTGGATTTGCTATGGAGACCAGGCTGGCCTCAAACTCACAGAGATCCACCTGCCTCTGCCTCCTGAGTGCTGGGATCAAAGACATGAACTGCCACGCCCAGCTTACTTTTATGTGTGAGTGTATTGCCTGCATCAGTGTCACGCAGTGCCCTGGAGGTCAGAGGGCATCTGATCCCTGAAACTGTGGAGTTGTTAGCCACCATGTGGTTTCTGGGAGTTGAACAAGGGTCCTCTGCAAGAGTGGCCAGTGCTCCATCTCTCCAGCCCCTTAATAGTGATCTTAAAATACTGTGATGGGGCTAGAGAGATGGCTCAGCAGTTAAGCACTTGACATCTCTTGCTGAGGACCCGGGTTCAATTCCCAGCACCCACATAGCAGCCACGAACCGTCCTTAAGTCCCAATTCCAGGGGAATCCAAAGCTCTCTTCTGACCTCTGGCATTGCACAGCACAGGTGCACTCACATACATGCAGGCAATACACTTGTACATAATAAAATATTTTAAATAAAAAAAATACTATGATCAAGAAATAAGAAAATGCTTCTTGAGCCTTAAATTTTCTTTTGTTTTTTGAGATAAGGTCTTCCTGTATAGTGTTGACTGACCTGGAACTCTGTACTAGGCTGGCCTCAAACTTAAAAGCAATCCTGCCTCTAAAATGCTGGGATTACAAGTGTGTCCACCAAGCATGGCTATATTTTCTGATTCTCAAGATTTTCCTTGTACACAAGAATGCTCAGGATGGGTAGAGTATATGAGTGAAAGAACTTGTTTTATTTCTTTCAGAGAGAAAGAGACATGAGAATGGGTGGTGGTGGAGCAATGAACATGGGAGGTAGGTAAAAACTAAATTAATAGTGTCATTGTAGAGCAGTGTTCTGTTGGAGGTGTAACCACTATTTTTGTTTCCTAGATCCCTATGGTTCAGGAGGCCAGAAATTTCCACCTCTAGGTGGAGGTGGTGGCATAGGTTATGAAGCTAATCCTGGAGTTCCACCAGCAACCATGAGTGGTTCCATGATGGGAAGCGACATGGTAATGTATCTTGTGGGGCGTAGTACAAAGGAATCCTTGATTTCATGACTCAAGTTTTTTTTTCCCCCCTTCTCTCTGCTTCTCTCTTTCTAAAGTAGCTGACTGGACTTCTTATAGTTCCCCTATGGTGTAACATAAACTCCTGAAAAACACTTTGGCAATGTAGAACTGTGAATGGTAACCTAAAACAGGTTGCCAATGAAGAATCAATGCTGTTAGTTTGTGGAGTTACTTTTGGCAATAAGTAGATTAGGTAGGTGTTTGCCATTTTATGCAGTTTGTGCACTTTTGAACTTCTAGTGCATGGCAAATCCAAATTTTAGGCGCTAGATAATTTATCATTTTTCTACATCCAAAGTGGAGGAAATGGCAAACTGCCATTCTTTAAGCTGGTATTTGCCATAAGTGGGAATCAGACTTGTAGATTGTAGCTTTAAGCAGGTTTCAGTGATGTGGAGGTCTTTGACCTATATTTGGTGTGGTTTCTATCCTGTGAAAAGGGGAACTGTTTAGTGTTTGTCTCGTCGTTTCCCACCTGTGGGTACACCTAAAATAAACTGAAGTTTCTACTTTGCTACAGGGTAGCAACAAGGCAAATCATTTTAAGTATACTGATGGTGTGCATTTGTTCTGATCCTTCTTGACGCAATCATGCTTTAGCTAGGTAGCCTTGTCAGGTGCTTTAAAATAGTGAATTTTGGTATTTGCTGCATTAGTCAGGGCTTAGATCCTTAGACTGCATTTTGGTGGGTTTAGGGAAACATTTTTGCAAATTGAATCTAATTAGTTCACCTACAAGCTGTTGGCTCAAGAAGATGCATTTTGTAGCCCATAGGATTGGATGCATTTTAAGTTTAATGTCAAACCTCATATTTTAAATGTACCTAAGGCTTTTTGAGAATTAAAGTTAGCATTTACAAATGGTTGAATATAATGCTGGTACCTTTGATCAAACTGAAATTTTAAAATAAGTAGCTTTTTGTTTGCTTTACATGCATCCTAAAAGACAAGGGTATCTATCAAATTTGTAAATAAGTTTGACATGTTCTTCCAGTTTAGTTTCTGGGTCTAGAAATAGATTATAACAGCTCCTATGCCTCCAAAGTTTCCTCTAGCTCTTACATAGAAACACAGTTCTGAAGATTTTTAAAAGTGAAAGATGGAGATTAGTCTGTTCAAGTAGTCCCGTAGTTTTTTTTTTAATGGTAAAATTATAGTAACAATTAAATCCTGATAACATTTTTGTGCCCTCTTCCCCCCTTTTAAAATGTTTTCATTAAAATAATCTGAGTAACTGGGTTACTTTAAGTGGAGTTCGAAAGACAGTATAGGCTGCTGTGTTTGCATACTGTAGGTTGTGCTGTTAGGGTATGTGGTTTTTTTGTTTTTTTCTTTAAAAGTGCCTAAAACTAGAATAGAAGTAATGCTGGTCTATACTGAAGTCACTAACTGCTTTATCGCAGTCACATTAGCTTGGCGATAGGCGCTTTTGGGAAACAGCCTAAACATGGAATCACAGCAAAGTGCCAGTGCACTTTTCAAAGCTCTTCTAAAGAATTGGACTATCAAGCAAGGTGGGCTGTGTATTTAGTTTGTAACAATGCAGAAACAGTACTGTGAACATAATTGTTTCTGGTTTTATAGCGATGGCTCTGAAGGTGTGGTATACCTGTGAGACTCTGGCAACATTGAGGCTTTGATCAAGTTACTGTGCCGGTTAAGTAACGAAATCTGTTAGTTTTTTGTGCTTTTTTTTTTTTTGTAGTCTAGTAGGATTTTATTAAGCTTCAACCTTTAAGATTTCTGCAACTTTGCAGATGTGTCTTAAGATCTTGAAAAGCACAAGGTTTCTTAAGCAGCACATGCCACTAACTGGTGAGTAGGTCTTTGTCACTTCATTGAGTGAATTGACTCTGTCAGATTGGGCTTGTTAGGCTTACTTGGAGATAATTTTCTGTTCAGACCTTGAAAGTGAGTTTGCAACCATTTCACTGGATTAATCTGATGTGAAATTTCTTAGAACTCATTTTGGAATGGGTTTTCACATCTGTACTAATTCTTAAATTTTTTAGCACTCCAGGGAAGATCTATTCTTTGAAACAGGTGTATGAGAATGGCTCAAGTGGGAACATACCACGAGGCATGTATTATCGTAAACTAATTTTCAAATTACCCTTTTTTCCTTTCTATGTTCCCGGTACCTGTGGATCGACTCATTGGTGATTGTATCGACGAACGTTGACTACGGAACCTTCTAAAATATTTACTTAACACACATGGACATCAACTACATTTAATGAACTGTTAATTACTGTTCCAATAGCGTACTGAGCGCTTTGGGCAGGGAGGTGCGGGTCCTGTGGGTGGACAGGGTCCTAGAGGAATGGGGCCTGGAACTCCAGCAGGATATGGTAGAGGGAGAGAAGAGTATGAAGGTCCAAACAAGAAGCCCCGATTTTAGATCCCACACCCAGGCTTTCATTCCAGTTTGTTTTTGTCTTCTCTTGTTTAGATACCACTTTTAAATTCTTGCATTTTAGTAAGAAAGCTACCTTTTTATGGATGTTAGCAGTTTATTGACCTGATATTTGTAAATGGTCTGTTTGGGCAGGTAAAATTATGTAATGCAGTGTTCAAAACAGGAGAAAAAAATTTTTTTTTCTTTTTATTTACCTTTTTTTTTTTAAACTGTATAATGTTCCTCAAGTTAATGGCAGTGTACCTTGTGCCACTGAATTTCCAAAGTGTACCAATTTTTTTTTTACTGTGCTTCGAATAAATAGTAAAATAGTTGAAATACTGATCTTCAACTTTGCCATTCATGCTTATGCACATTAGGCTAGCTTCCACTTTGAAAACACAGAGTATCCAGGCCTTTGAATGGCATATGCCATTTCTGGGAAATGTACAGAGCTAAGTGATGCTTTCTACAGATAATGGCCCTTTTGTTTCCAAAAGAAGTACAAACTTGTTGAAGTAGTTAGGATGTATTTGGCATTATAGGAAGCAAGCTGGTGCTGAGTATTTTTTAAATGGTTATGTAAGCAAAGCTGAACTGTACATCTTCATTCAGGAACATGTATTAAGATTATGGAATGAGTGTAAACTATTGGTAGTGAGAGAAAGTGGGTTTGGATAAATGGATCTTTGGCCCTCCTTTGAAAGCTTGAAAAGTAGTAAGATCATTTTGTTGCATTACCCCTGTTGCTTTGTTTCTAAAAGAACAAATCCCAAGCCCTACCAATGGCTTGTATTGAACTTTTGCATTTGAATTAAAGATTGTTAAACATGAAGCCTTTTCATGTATTGCTTCAAGTGATTTTAAAAGCTGGGATCTAGCCTGAAAATTTCAACTTGAAAGTAAGGGTTAGTTAACTATATAAGGTAGGTTTAGCTCTCCGTATTCTGTAACTTAACATCTTGTGCTACTTAGGTTGGGAAAATCCTGTAGGTACTAAAATATTATTAGTTCTCTTTAAGAGATACTGGTGACTTTCCATATAGGATTGATTGCAGATAACCATTCTCACTATGAAGTTGTTGACATTTTTTACATTTTGCTTTTTTATGTAGCACTAAACCTGGAGACAGCGTCTCAGGCTACATAGTACAAATACTCTTTGCATCCACCATAGGCTTTGGAATGTTTCAGTGATGTTGTCAGTTGATGTCAACTTCATTGAATCTCTCCATTAGGACAAGAGACTTTTCTGACTCAGTAATAGACCGTTTACTGTTGTCTGTTAGTATAATGGGAGCTTGATTCCCAGTGTAAATATGTTAGAGGAACGACTTCCTAACAGTAGGTAAAGTAATTAAATGCTTTGGTCTGTTCTTAGTTATTTCCATTCAAGTCTGTACATTATAGAACTTTTCACTATGGAATGTCTTCATCCTTTTCACCTCTATCCTTGGTGCTAATTGGCAAAAGAAAAATTCTAAATCATGTGCTGAAGTTGAGTACTGTGCTTGAGTACAAAAGGAGATCTATTGTTGAAACAATCGAGTACTTCATGCATAGGAAAGGAGCATAATTTTAAGTAAAACATTAGTGGATTATCAAAGCATGTCACCAAATTCTGCTTGTATGACTGATAGGTCCATGGCGTATTAAGTAAGGGAGAGAATCTCCTCAGAAAATAGACTCCTTTTCATTGACCAGCACACTTGGAAATAGCTAGATCTATCAGAATTATAGCAATCAGAAAGGTTTTGGCCCAAGTGAAGTTACTAATTGGTGGTAATACATAATAAGGTTTTCTGTATGGAACCAAAGGTCTGGATTTGAAAGGAACTCATTTGGTCCAATTGTGTAGCAGGGACTAATGATAATTGAGGGATGTTCATGGGACACCCACAGAGGGTGAGTTTTAAATGTATGTGGGTGGGGGCTGGAGGGGAAATGGGAAAATCTGCCTATAAAATTAATGTTTCAGTTTATTTTTCAGATTATATGCCTTTATAAGGGATGCTGGCACAGACCCATAAAATAAGCTTTTGGTAGTAGTATACCTTTAAAGAGTGGTGAAGGATGCTAAAAAGTTGTGGTTTTTGATAGCCTTTACTGTGGGCTGTAGAATAGCTAAACTTGAGTTTAGCAAGTAAGGTTATAGTGTCAACCGACATCTGACTTTGGTCACTGAAACAGCATACCAAGGGTTGTAAGCTACTCAAAACGGACTTTGAGTAAGTCTTTTATGTGATGGTTTTAACCTAATGCGATTTTAAATCATCTTAATGAATAGTTTTTCTAAACTAAAAATACTTAGTGGGAAAGGGAAGATGATAGTACTTTAGCCATTTTTCTTTGAAGAAATCACCTGCCCAGTTTACTCCAGTTTCTCTCATAATTTTGTTTTAAAAGGACACTTAAAGTTCTCCTTTTAAAATTGCATTATTATACTAGTATATTTAATAGGCATCCTTATAAGCTTAACCCATTGGCTCACATGTGATGAAATCATCCTTTTGTTCCTAAGAACAGCAAACATGTAAGAAGTACTATAAAACCCACCACTCTTTTTAAAAAAGGTGTTGTACCACTAATATAAGTAGATAATTTGGGAAATTGTAATGTTACACCTGTGCAATTCTTAAAAGTGGCATATCATGGCAGATAAAAATTTAGTTACTTGGCTTGGGCAAGCCACAAAGTTGTGGCGGAATGTTTTGTGGTATTCTTGGACTGCAATTGTGCACTATTAAAGTAGTGGCCTGCTACATAACTGCATTTAGCCAGCATTTCTGCAGTGCGTAACTGTGAGGAACGTAGTACCGCAAATGGCAATGGACATTAGGACCCGGATGTAGTATTCCTGCTTGCTCCAAGATTCTCATTGCCGACTGCATACAGGTAGGTAACAAGCAATATAATCTAACTTGGTGACTTGCTATGTACTTTTATTCAGTGGGCATTCTGACATCACACTTCTGACAGTGAAATAACAGTGCAGCACCTAATACTTGTATGGTAAGCTAGGCTATTTCACAACTCTGGGTCTGGGATTAGAGCTGTAATTGGTTAGGAAGAATTCAGTGCTGTTGCAGTTCTCAGGAAAATGCAAACTTGAATCTTGGTGTATCTTGACTCAGTTGTGTGGTTTTCTTTAGTTACACTGTAACTGAAGATAAAAATGGAACACATCTGGTGTGGGGGCAAGGGAAACAACCATATGGTGGGAACTAGGGTGCTCTTGATAAACAGACTATATAGTATGTGATAATTCAGCCTCCATTGTAGCACACTGACCTGCCATAGGTCAGCATTGTCTAATTTCATTATTCAATCTTGGCAATTGTTCTGCAAGTTGAGTGAATTAAGACTAAGCGACAGGGGGTTTTTGGTAATGTGATGAGAAAATTTCCAAATATGGGTTTCATGGGAACACTTGTTACTAACTTGGGCTTAGATGGGGATCTTACACAAATAGTTCATTATGTGGCTTGTCTAAATATATTTATACTCCAAACTTGGGGGAAAATAGTGTGAAACACTGACTTGCCTCTAGTTGAGAATACTGGGAATCATTCCCAATCATAGACTTCGTCGTATTCTGTAGAATGAGGGCATTTGTTCAGAGTAGCTCTTTGAACTTGTTTCCCTTTAGCTTTAGGGATGTGATGTTCCCTTTCAAAACGTTTGATCACAGAATACATAAGTCTTCAAAGCACCTTCTTTTGAGCTTTCCATCAACTGTTGTTCCAGACCTCAATTCAATTTAACTTAACCTTGGTCTCCGAACTGGTTTTTCACCTACCATGCATGAGAAACATCAGCTTTCACTTGTAATGCTTTCTGCTCCGTAACTAGAAAGTTTGGTTTACTTTGCAAAAGTGTCGGTAAAAACTTTGTGGCTGAGAATTTCCTTTCACTGTATCAAGAAGAATGACTTGGTCAAGCAAGTCACATGGTGGGGAGAGATTTGTATGTTAGTCCATTCAAGCAAACAACTTGTGATTACTCAGGTGTAAGAGCAATGGTGACTTCTAGCTCCTCATAAATAAAATCCAAATCAAACAGTGTGATGAGTATCACTAACCTGCCTGGATCCCTGATGGGGCATTTCTGTGTCATAGTACATTAAATCGGTGGCCAGTGCTGGCTACCGTGGTTTTAGGTAGTGATTGAGTGTTCACAAGAGCTCAGGCTTATCTCTTTACCAGTAACAACTTGCAGAGAATGTATTTGATACACTGTGCGGACTTAGGGAACTTTGGGTGGGGGTATTTTTTGCCTTGTCTGCTGCTCTAAGATGATTAGGCTTTTGTACTTCAGAATGAGAAACCATTGAATTCAGTAGATTCTTATAATTTGTATGTAGCTTTAAATTGTGAATCCTAGTACATTGGGCTTTCTTAACTACTCAGAAAAGCTGGGAATTAAGTGGGTCTCAGTAATCATACTATATACTGAGGTGCTTGCATTGTATTTCATAGTCTTGTTAAAACCAAAATTATGATTTTTTTTTCCAATGAGAACAATCAAAAGTTCAGAAGTGTGATGCCAGAATGTATCTTCGTACTGTTAGGCCCTTGGAACAGATACCGGTGCTTTCTGAAAGATGAAAGATGCAGTGGGTACTCTTTGCAAAGCTACAAACGATGCATATCTCACTTTCCCTAATGAAGAGATGCGTGTGATGAGTTTTGGACTTTAACCTAATGGGGGTGCATGTCTCCTATTGTTAATCATTGTCAGCTGCAGTGACAAGATCCACAGTCCTGCATTTACTGCTGCCTTTGATTTTGGACAGGTTTTAGAGCTGGGGTGTTTGTTCTGGGCCTTCACTTGGTTTTGGCTTTAGCTGATAATGTTTAGTGCTGCCTAACTAGTGCAGTTCTCAAATGGCTGCCTACTAGGGAAAGAATCCAGAGGATTTAACTGTTCCTTATCTGTCATTGCTGCTAGATAATGATTGGCAAATTTTTAAGACTCAACTGTGGAAATCTCAAGTTGTTGGTAAACAACCAACCATAATGTTTTTGAACACCAGTGCTGAAAATTTTTTTTGGAGATGAAAAGGGCCTGGACATAAGTAAGGATAATCTGGAGAATGGGGAAAGAATGCAAAACGATATAGTATCCCTTATGGATGGTACATGTGCAACAGGGTGTTCTATTTCATATATACCTGTGGCAGTAATGATACAGGGAGGAAGAAAAACCTGGAACTTGAATTTAAGGCTGAGCTTTCTGTTTCTTGTGTGCTGTGCCAGGTATATAGTGAAGGTGAATGTCTTCTCCCTCAGAAAAACATAGTTTCCTTGCTGTCCAGTAAGGCATAGCTTCCCTGCCCCAACCTAAAACACAGTGAGGACTTGGAAGAGAAAGATTGAGGCAAATGCATAGGATTGCAGGGTAAGAACTGCAGTGTTGTGTGCTGTGGGAGAATGGGTAAAGCACTCTTGGGAGGACTACTGATGGTGGCTAGCCCACCTGAGAACAGAAGACAGGAATTGACGGGGAAGCAGGGCATGTGCTTTAGGAAAGAGCTGATAACTCATTTGGTGAGGTACATGTTGTCACATACCTTCACATAAGGGATAGTATATTTTGGGTTGCAGTCAAACTTCATTGTGCTCAGACTGGTGAAAATAGGAGTTAGGCTTTTGCATTTTAAAGATAGTTTTCATCCTAATTCTGGTATCTACTTATTATATTACTTACATAAAGAATAATTTTAGAATTCCCCCCATGAAGTTTCTTCCTATTTTTTTTTTAATCCTGTAACTTATCCCAGTCTTGTCTCTGGAATTTTGCTCTTTTAAATTTTGAAGTTAACTAGCATTTTCA